AGGGTCAAAAGAAAGTAAGAAAAATGAAAACAGGGAATAGAAAGCAAAGGAAAATTAAAAAACCAAACTAGATGGGTCCATCCAACAAAGCAGCAAGGTTATGGTGACTATAATTACTAACATAACATTAGAAATAAAAAACCTTCATGCAGTTGTTCCGGCGTTAACATAGAGCTTCCACACAACTCTATCACTGTCTGGTTTTGATTATCCATGTAGTTCTTCCTGTGGGCCAACAATGACCTGTCTGAAGCCTTGAGGACTTCCTCCTAACTCACTTTCTGATTTCAAATTCTGGCAGTGCAAACCCACCCCCCGCCGCTGCCACATCTCTGTGGACAAGATGATGATGACGATAATGAGGAGGAGGAAGAGGAGGAGGGTTGTGTTGGGGAACTTCCTCATCCTAATGTTCTGCTGCTGCCCACTGGCCAGCCATGTGGCAATTACATTTTTACTCATTGTGGCCACACTGAGGGCTCTCTCCTCAGGTCCTTTTCCAAAATGTGTACACTGGGCCTGGGGTAGAGGGTGGAGGACAATAATCCAGGAAAGTGCCAATTTTCCCCTCTCCCACCCTCTAAACACTAGATCCTGTGGGATTTTCTTTTCATTTATCCTCCTGTATCCAACTTTATCTTCCATCTTGCCTCAGGGTAGCTTCTTTTCTTCAGCACCAAATTGGAGGCCCTCACCCTAGTGGGCCATCATGGATGCTCCTGCTACCTTTCTGAGGCACCATTCTTTTTTTTTTTTTTTTTTTTTTGTGGAACTGGGGATTGAACTCAGAACCTCACGCTTGCCAGGGAAGCGCTTATTCCACTGAGCCATCTCCCTGGCCCAGCCATTCTTGGTACATAGATTCCATCTTCAAGGTCACCCCATGCTTCATTACCACTGCTGAAGCTCCAGCCATCATCATGATGTTTATGGAGAAGGCAGGAAGAAGGGAAGTAGGATAAGAAAGTGCTTCCCAGGTGTCTGTCTTTTGCCTAAGGGGAATTTTCTCAGAAACCAACACACATTTTTCTTTCATGTTACATGGTGTTCCAGAGGGGAGATGCTGGGATGCTGCTTTCTAGTACAACAGTTTCCAGACGCTGTTCCTTCCCCATCCTTCTTTAAGGCACAGGATAGCACTTCTTGAGGAACTCTGCTTGAGTTCTGTGAAATCATGATATGCTGAAACTCTGGCTGTTTGATTAAATACTTATCAACCTTCCTACTCTCCGAGACCTCAGGGTGGGCAAGAAGAGTAGGCAGGCAGACAGATAGGCTCCCTGCAGGGCAGGCAGGGCACACACCCCACTCCAACAGAGGTGTGGTGAAGAATCTTAGAGAGAGGAAGTACTGGAGGAGGCCCAAGCTCTGAGAGAGACAAGAATCTCAATTTGCTGGAGGAAGAGGGAGGGAAATGGTCAATATTTACTGAACACTTACTGTATGCCAAGTCCTCCATCTCGTGTATCATTGACCACTGAAAACAATCCTTCCCAGTAGGCACTGCCATCCTCATATTGAAGATGAAGGAATGAAATGAGGGTGGGAGTCACAGGCATTTGTTCTCTTCAATTGCAATGGAGAATAGATGAGTTGCCCCTCCTGGTATGGCCCAAAGTGCAGGTATGCGAGCATAACAGCTTAACAAAAGCCCTTCCCAGTCCTCACTGGGGCCCAGAAAGTTTACATTTGTAATCCCATGAAAAAGTTCTTGGAATTCTAATGAGTTAGCTTCAATCTACCATTCTGAGAGCAGCCCATGGAGAAAATAAAGATACTAAGGCATATTTGTAGTTATGGGGAACCAAGAGGTCCAAAGTCCAGCCATGATGATGGCTATCCAGAACAAAGACCTCAACGTAGGGCCCAACCAGGTTTTATTAATTTATAAGGAAAGGAGTGGCTTGAGGAAGAGTGACTGTGAGAGTGGTGGGAAGTAGGTGAGTGTTGTAAGCTGGGCTAGGTAGGAGGTCTGAAGTCACCTCTGCAATATGCAGAGAGAAGGATATGCAGAAAGAGTAATCCCCATAACACAATTGATATAGTGTCAAATGTTTTGAGATTGGTGCTTCAGCTCTGACATGTAATCTTTCAAGCCCTGGGAAGTCATAGGCTCTATGTCAAGGCTGATGCCAGTGGACAGCGTGGAGCACTGGCTCTTCATCCCACCCCATCTGGTTTACAGAAGAGAACAACAGAGTAGGGGTGGGTCCGGGGAAACTTGCCTGTTATCTTCAAAGACCACCATCAGCACCTCAGTTGGACCCATACGCATTGCTTAAAGCCAATTGAAGGGATAAGGAAAAGCCCTAGCCAGTTCTGCATCAATACATGCAAATAGGGTCAGATTATGCCAAAATAGAGACAAGTGCTCCTCCTTTAAGGAGAGTTGCCTGGGTGTCCTCCATATGATCATCATTGTCCCGCTGCAAGGGGTACTGATGTACTTGTTACGCAGCAATAGACACTGGAACACTATGCCTTGCCTTTCCAGGACCTACCTAGTACCATCGAGTTTCCTTTTCAGTACTTCTTAAGTCTACCATCTCCTCTTCACCTTCTCTGCTACCCTCTCTGTCACCTGGACAGCTGCATTAGCATCCTCATCCATATTCCCTGCTCACTCTGTAGCCACAGTTTCCTACAAATCCATCCTGACATCTCACTGGAATGTACAAGTCACCTCCCCAGGCCAGCTGCAGGACGAAGTATGTGGTGGTTCTCCACTGCTCCTAGGGGCAGGACTTATCCATCCCTTGCCCTCTGGGCTCGAGTCACACTGGCCTTTCTTCTCTTTCTCCCATACCCTGTGCTCTCTCTGCTTCACACACAGTATTGTCCTCACCCCGTAGTGACCTCTCCCTCACGTGAATGAATGCCTCTGAGCCAGTTGTTTTCCAAATGGAGTCCTTCACCAGCATCACTAGGAAACTGGATAGAAGAGAATATTGTCAGACCTGACCCCAACCCAAGCAATCAGAATCCCTTGGGGCAGCTGGAGATCAGCAGTCGACATTTAACAAGCCCATCAAGAAATTTCGATCCATGTTTGAGCCCTGCTACTCCGAAGCCCCATTACAGATCATGGACTGTTACTTTTTTCTCTCTCCAACTTCCTTTCTTTCACAGGCTTGTTAAAAAAAAAAAAAAGGATTTTTTTTTCCAGTACCAGGGATCAAACTCAGGACCTTGCACTTGCCAGGCAGGTGCTTAAGCCATTGAGCTATCTCTCTGGCTCTAGAAGTTTGTTCTTGTGAGCACTCAGGCCTTTTCAAGATCATCTGCTGCATGTCAGTCCTTCCTGAAGACCTGAGCTCAGAGGTGGCGTGTGTGTGTGTGTGTGTGTGTGTGTGTGTGACTGAAATAAACCAAGAGACTTACACATAGCAGGTAAGTGTTTTACTACTGAGCTTCCACTCAGCCCTCATTATTGCTCTGTATTGCACCCTGGCATCTAACCTGTGCCAGGGTGTGGTAAAGGGTATGGGTTGAGCAGATTGTTGACTGTCAGCCTCCAGTTGGTCATGGACTCCTCACCGTGTGGAAAGTAGAAGGGACTGGACTTTTGTTCCTCTGGGACCCTGAAAGTGATAGAAAGGAGGATAGGAAATGTTTGGGAACTTCAGGAGTTTATATCCTCTGCATGAAAAGCATTCTTCACAAGGCTAGGAAAAGGCTTTCCCCCCTTTCCTCCCATTTTCCTTCCTAGTCCCTCCTTCACCTGTAGTCCTCAGCTGATGTCCACTGAGCAAGGAGCCCACCTGTATGGGCTGCATGTGATTTACATTATTCCTACAACACACTTCTGAGGCATACATTAGCATTTCCATTTTACAGGTAGATGAACTGAGACTCCATAAGGTTCAGACTCTTGGCCAAGGCCAGAGTAAGGCAAGACTTGAACCCAGGCTGTGTGACTATGGCACGGTGCCTTGTCATGAATGCCTGAGTTCAGAGCACTCAGATGGGGCAGGAGGGGCAGTGGTACTATGTGGAAACAATGAGTCTTTCTACAGGGCAGCTCCAGCTATGGTGGACGGTGGAACTGGGAGGCACAGGACCTGGTGGTGCCCGACCTTCCCAAAGTCTCAAGAGAAAGTCAGTAAATTGGAACATAAAAGTCTTCCTGTTGCTGAATGTTAGCAAACAATTAGTTTTAGGAAGCTCAGCTGGGTGTGGGGGTAGAGGCTTTAATCCCAGCACCAGGCTGAGAGGCTACAGCAGGATCATCTTAAATTTGAGGCCAGCTTGTGCAACTAAGACCTTGCCTCAAAATAAAAAATGCAAAATGGGCATCTGGTCACCAAGCTTGACAAAACAAAAACGAAACAAAACTCAGAAGCTTCCAGAGGTAAAGTCCTACACTTGGATAAGGTCTAGTGGCTGAACAATACCAGACAACCCCCATGACCTAGCTGTGTCATGGTGCTACTTCTGCTATCTGCTGGGCAGTCTACTTTAAATTCAGAGGTCAATACCTCAGCGGATTAAAGCGCCTGCTTAGGCAGGCTCAGGGACTGGGGTTTGATCCATGCTGGCCCTGCCTGGCGGGGGGAAGGTTAAGATAGCAATTGTAATATCAAGCGCTTGGGAGGCTGAAAACAGGAGAATCACTATAAGTCCAATCTGTGTAGTAAGACCCTGTACTACATACATACATATATACATACATACATACATACATTCATTCATTCATTCATTCAGAGGTCTCCACCCTCAGCAGGATGCAGACCCCAAGTACCTTCATTGCTCTCGCCCCACTGTGAGAGGCTGGATCTGTCTGGTCACAGCTGTGTCCAGAGCCCTGCGCTGCATGAAAAAGGTACTCACTAGGTAAATGCTTTCAGATGGAGAATTCTGATGAGCAGCCTCACTTCCCGCCATCTGGTTCCTCCTCTTTGCCCCACCCTCAGCAGGTGGGTAGAGTACTGGCTTATTAAAAGCCAACAGCTGGAGACCCCATGGGGCTGGTGAGTTCCTTGTGGAGCTGGAGGCTTAGCATGGCCACCTCCTACCCTGTAAGTCCAGCTGCATGCCCCTTCTGGGGTAAGGGACCAGCTGGGTGGAGGATGTAGGTGAGGGGGTGGCCAGGGCCAGAGCTTACAGAACACTCTGATTTCCTTTGGCCAGGATATTGAATCTGAGGGTGGACTCAGGGCAAAGAAGGAGGAGGAGGAAAAAGAGCAAGAGAAGGCAGAAGCGGGGAAGTATACAAGAGAGAGGGCTCCAAAGTCTCCTAGGACCAGGACTCCATTGTCTCGGAGGGGCAAGGCCAGGAGTGAAGGCCCAATGGAGGTCAAGTTAGAGCTGCACGTTCTGCAAAACAGGTCAGGCCAGCCTTAGGGCTTTCTGGCTGTGTGCCTTGGACAACCCTTTGCATGTGAAAGGCCAGAGCTGACCAAAGCCTCAAACTATTGGGCCCTTTTGGCTCTAACCTCTGTGATTCTGGGTTTAACAACTCCTCCTCCATACTTTAGGCTAGTGGACTTTATTTGCTCTGTGTGTGTGTGTGTGTGTGTGTGTGTGTGTGTGTGTGTCCGTGTTCCAAATCTCATCTCTTAGCTTGTCCTTGAAAGGAAAGGGATCTCCCTGTTAGCCCCAGCGCTACTGGGGTAGACATGGGGGCGGTTTCTCTGATTTGTCTTTCCTACCAGGTGGTCTCTGTGGTTCTTCAAGAATGACCACAGCCGGGCCTGGCATGACAACTTGCATTTGGTCACCAAGTTTGACACTGTGGAGGACTTTTGGGCGTGAGTGTCTGCTGCTCAGGGGGCCAGAGCTAGAGTCTGGCAGTGAGGCATTGCTTGCTACCCAGCTGTGCCATCCTCCTCAGGGTCTTCTGCATTTGGTGATGATGGGGGCTCCTGCTCAGGGCCATTCGGATTGGGGCACAGCCACCCTCAGTCTTGCTAGGGCTTAGGGAGGTAGCATGGGGGGCATAGTGAGTCTAGTAAGCAGATGGAGGGTGGAGACCAGTTGGGCCAGGCTCCTAAAAGCCTTGGCTTTCACCATTGGTGGGATTGGATGGGGGTCTCTCTCTTCAGGATGTACAGTCACATCAAGCTGGCTAGTAAGCTCTCTCCTGGCTGTGACTATGCCCTGTTCAAGGTAAGCTCTACCCTCACGTCCCTCTTCCCCAAAAGACAGGGCCCTGATTGGTCCCAGTTTGCTTGCCTCTTCCCCCACAGGGATTTGGGTATGTGAAAGCACAGACAGTTCAGATTAGGGCAGAGGCATGATTTCAGATTGGAGGAGCTGCAACATAGAAGCCCCCTCCCCCCCCAAAAAAAAAATATATATATAGAAGCCCAGATAGGACAAAACGCATCAGACCTAAGCTACACTTGAAGGATGTTTAAGTTTTAGAAGTGTGCGTGGGAGAGGAGTGTCAGGGGAAGACCCCAGGTCTCTGGCCTTAACTAGGGACAGGCATCAATATTGCCTGACATGAGTGTTTAAAGATTCCCCCAGGTGACTTATGCCCAGAAAGGTTTAGGGGACCAAGCAACCAAGCCTGGGAAAGCCACCCTTGCCCATGGTAAAGTGCACTAAGCCACTTGTTTGAACTCTTTAAGGAATTTAATTCATTAAAGTGGACATAGGTACCCATAGAGAAGGCTATAAAGGTGACCAATAGTGAGGCTCAGGGGCCTGTGAGCGCTCAGAAGGGGGTCCCCTGGTGGTTGGTAGTGGTATCTGTGTATGCAGAGTGGACTGCAGCAAAACAAGCTGGCCAGTGTACTAGGGCCTGGGCAAAGACAGGTATGCAGATCAAGCTGCATGTGAGGGAACTGGGTCCCCAACAACCCATCGACGGCTGTTGATCTGTCATCCTGCCTTGCAGGATGGCATCGAACCCATGTGGGAAGACAGCAGGAATAAGCGGGGGGGCCGCTGGCTGCTCAGTCTTGCCAAGCAGCAGCACCACAGTGAGTTGGACCGTCTGTGGCTGGAGACAGTGAGTGGCAGAACTGGTGGTGGTGGTGGTAGGGGGGTGTCACCAGGGGAGACAACCTGGTGTGGGTCTCCAGGTTGCAGTGGTTTCAGGGATGAACCCCATGCCCCAGCTGGAGGTCTCACAGTCTCTGCTTGGGCCCAGCTGCTGTGTCTGATTGGAGAGAGCTTTGAGGAGCACAGTAAGGAGGTGTGTGGAGCTGTCATCAACATCCGTACCAAGAGGGACAAGATCGCTGTGTGGACAAGGGAGGCAGAGGACCAGGCCAGTGTGTTACACATTGGGTGAGGGCTGGGTCCCTTCTAGGGAGGAGTAGGGTTATGGTAGCTTGGCCTGCAGGGGAGATCTCTGAAACTCTCCCTTCCCTTTCCCTCTTGTTCCTTACCCATCTGTATATCTAGATTCTAAACCATTTCCAGCAGTACAAGTCTTCGCTTGCAGTAGAGTCCTACTCTGGGTTTCTGTATTGATAACACACACACACACACACACACACACACACACACACACCAGGAATAGTTGCAACCAGGATAGCAATTCAGGGGGCAAAGGATCTGAGCCTAGGTGACCTCCAGGCCACACTGCTGACTGTGTTTCCTTTCCTCTGTACCCCATCTTGCAGCCAAATATACAAAGAGTACCTTGGCCTCTCCACGAAGACTGTCATTGGGTACCAGGCTCACATTGACACAGCCACCAAGAGCAACTCTTTAGCCAAGAATAAGTTCGTGGTGTGAGGGGCCCTTGGCATCACTCCTAATGAGCAGGCCAGCCATCTGAGTTTCTTATCACTGTGGGGTGTTGCGGAAAGGCAGGGCTGCACAGCTGCCCCTGGGTGGGACAGAGGGCAGACTGCCCAGTTTCACCTGTCCTGAAATATATATGAACACTTTTGTTTTGTTTGGGGTTTGTATGTTCCTAAACATTTGGGCTGAAGGGATACTGCTTCATCAACCTGCTAAATAGCTTGGACCATAGGGACTTGCCACTTTGATGGGCATCATATAAATAGTATGAATAGTCCTAATGTGAGTTGGTCGCATGCCTAGAGGCAGGGTGGTGGCTGCTGCAGCAATCTGAAGTCCTAGCCTTGCCAGGGGCCACAGGGTGAGGGCCACGTGGAAGAAGCTCTTAGGTTTGCTCCTCTGACATGGAGGTTGGATGGACACTGAGGGAAGAGAAAGCCTTGAACAGCCTCTTGTCCTCTTCTGTGGACAGGGCCAGCTGGCTGGGACCAGTGTTACCTGTGCCTTTGCTACATAAAGGCTGGGCTGAAGGAGAGGCGGGTTGACCAGTCCCCACCCCCAGGACAGGAGCTAGGTGGTAGCTGACACTTCACCCTGGTTTTGTTTTGAGGTGGATTCACTTGGAATGATGAACCGAAAGCCCCTTTCTGTACCTCTTCTAAATAAATATTTTTGAGCAAGCTTGGAATTGTCTTTTTGGGAGGACTTAAAGCACTTTAAACTTAAAATTTTGGATAAGACTCAGTTTTTCCTAAACTTTGATCTGCCTGCCCTGTCATGAAGTGGCTCACGTGAGACTTCCAGGCACCCAGCCAGGGCAGGACCCAAGCTGGTGAGTGGGGGGGCGGAGGGGGTAGGGGTTGGGTGAAAGACCGGCTCTGGCAAAACTGCAGAGACAGCAACAGGTGTGAACCCACATCGTCGTTTGTCCCGAGTTAGAGCTCGTTATCTGTAGAGCAGAATTTCTGCGAGTGAAACGTGATCTGATTTGACTCCTTTATAATTACACGTGCTGACGCGTTAACTCAATCCGATCCCCATCCACTCACCCAACCGCCTACAGCTTCTCGGGTATAGTCTCGGACAAGGCAGAAGACTAGAGGCGATAGTACTGAGCCTGCGGCCATCAGCGCCAACAGTGGGCGACTCTGGTGGGTCTGAAGGACAGGGAGAGATTACCGCATCTGGAGCTTGTGGACTCCAAGGCGGGGCTCTGAGGGACTGGGTCGTGTAGGGGGCGGAGCCTCGCGGGGGGTGGGGCCTCTGCCGGGAGGAGGCGGTCTAGGGGCGGGGCCGCGCGCCTGTTGGGGCGGGGCGGGCGCCGGGGGCGGTCTCTGCGGGGCGCTCTGTGTGGCCGCGGCCATGAAGCCGCAGCCGCCGGGCTAGGCCCCGGGCGGCTCCAGCCCAGGCTGGCCCGCAGAAAGCTGGGCCCTGTTCCTGGCCCGGCATCCGGGCCGGCGGGTGGCCCCTCACCATGCCTGGCAAGCACCAACACTTCCAGGAACCCGAGGTCGGCTGCTGCGGGAAATACTTCCTGTTTGGCTTCAACATTGTCTTCTGGGTGAGCGCAGGCTCTGCTTTGGGCCCTGGGCTAGGGGCGGTGGGAGGAGGCTGAATCCCCTGCTAGGGGAGGCTGCTCCCACCTCTGCTGGTTGGGGCTCAGGACCGGCCCCTGACTCCCTCCACCCCCACGCCTAGTCCCGGGACCACCCGAGGGAGTTACCGCGAGGCCCGGATGGCTGGGGGCGGGGCCCAGCTTTGGTGGGGGTTGGGGAGTCTCGCGTGTGACGCCGGAGGCCGATCGGAAGAGGAAGGAGTGTTTGCTGGGAGACCCCTGGGGCGCGCTACGTGCTATCACCCTCTTGCCCGATCTCCTTGTGGGAGCCCAAACGCCACCCTTGGTTTAGCCTGTGGGGAGGAGAGTCTGGCTCATCCCAGCCTCCTAACCGTTCGGGAACCTAGGACTGGTGCCTCGCCCTAGGCTCCTGCAAAGTTGCGTGGGTCTGGCCCTCCCCGACTTATAGCAGGTGCCCGGCGGTTTGCTGGCCGGGAGGCTTGGCGGTCGCCGGGAGAGCAAAGCTGGCCTCCTGCCTGGGGAACTGAAAGCGACATTCCACAGCTGACCTAAACGAGAATGGGTGGGACCGCCCCTGCTCTCCTAAGGGAGCTGTTACTGACCCTCAAAGAGTGGCATCGTTGTGTGCCCCTGCCAAGTCATCTTTGTCTTCTCCCTCCCCCATCCCATCTCTAAAGCTGAGGCCTCTGCAGTCTGCTTCCCAGCCTCGGGTCAGAATGCCCGGTCTTTTCTCCTGTGTTCAGCAGGACTCGGTGGCTCTGTTCTCTACCCACACGCAGCAGGAGCCTGCCCCAGCGTGGGTATCCTTGGCCCTCAGCAGTGCTCAGCACCTGTTCAGGGGGCACGATGGAGGAGAGGAAGTTAGGCCTGACTGTAGCTGTCTAGCTGCGAGGCCTTGGTCAAGTCACCTCCTCCTGGGCCTCAGCTTTCCAGCCCTGGAGCAGATGATACTGAAGTTTGCTTCTCAGGGTTTTTGAGCAAAGAAGTTCTAGTGAGTTGTAGTCTCACAACCACCTTGTCATAGTTTACATTTTATAGATGGGGAAACTGAAGGGATAGGCACTGGGAGGTTAAGTTATTTACCTAGGTCATACAGCCAGGGTGACAGCTGAATAGCAGGATGTGGAGCAGTGAACAGAGGTAGGGCAGTGAGGGGGCCCAGCCCTTGTGTCTTCTGTTAGGGCAAAGTAGAACAGTGAGGGCTTCATGTGGGAGGGATGGGTCTGATCTGGCTTTTGTGTTGGAGGCAGATCTGGATGGCTGCCAGGGGAAACAAGGGTGACACACAGGGCCTGGCTGTGGGGGACAGGAATGAGGGCTGGGATGTAGCTGGGATGGTATGGCTGGGAAAAGCAGGAGAGATCTAGCAGAGTCACAAGGTTGAGGACTGGACTGCTTTGGCCAATGCAGGTGCCTCTAATAGGGGCCCAGAGAAGTTTTTTATTTCCCTGTTAAGCAGGCCCGGGTGTTGCTCTGCTGGGAACTTGTAGTTTCTCCCTGCTCCTAGACTACAGCCCAGTCTTCTCCCTGTGGCTTCTAGGGCCTTGTGGGGACTAGCCTTGCCATCCTTCAGTTTGGACCCAAGATGTGGTCTTACTAAAGAGCCTCCACCTTTCCCCTTCACTTTTCTGTCATCCAGACCTCAGCTAAAATACTCAGTACCCTACTGTCCCTCTAAAGGAACCCAGTCCCTAGTCCCTCCTGTTTGCATCCTCCTGATTTTCTTTAAAGGAGCTAGTTTTATCTGACTTTCCCTTATTCATTTGCTTGCTGTTTATTTGCCATGGATGGTGTGTTTGCTTTGGGGGCTGAGAACAATCATGTCCCATTCACCAGCGTAGTGTCACAGCTTGTAGCAGTGCCTGGGACTGCTTTAGAATTGTCCTGGGGTGGGAGCAGAGTTTGCCGCTACTGCCTTGGGTGAGAATGTCTCAGTTATTTCCTGCTTCAGTTTTAAGTTCCAGGACTTGGTCCCTGAGATCCATCCATTTGCTAGAGGCAGCTTCAGTCCTCCAGGCTGCTCTGTAGGGAAAGAAGTACTGAGATGGGTCCTTGGGAAGGTGGGAAGGACCCTTGACCCTGTTTTCAGCCTGTGTCCCTCCTCCTTTCCCTTGACTTTGAAGGCTCTGAGTGCTGGGCAAGGATGCGTGAGGGTCGGTGAAGGACCCCGTAGTGGCTGGTGGCTAGCCCTGAACCAATTGCTGATTTTCTTGCAGGTGCTGGGAGGCCTATTCCTAGCCATCGGCCTGTGGGCTTGGAGTGAGAAGGTAGGCAGTGGGGTAGGCTGTGGTGCTGCCTGGGGGATGATGTGCTGGAAAAGTCTGTCTCTCACACCAGCCTCTTGCTCCCCTGTGTAGGGTGTTCTCTCCAACATCTCGGCGCTGACAGATCTGGGAGGCCTTGACCCTGTGTGGCTGTTTGTGGTGGTTGGAGGCATCATGTCAGTGTTGGGCTTTGCTGGTTGTATTGGTGCCCTCCGGGAGAACACATTCCTGCTTAAGTTTGTAAGTGCCCCTCCTAACCTGAGGTCCACACCAACCCAATTCTTTTTTTTTTTTTTTTTGTACGTGAAACCAAACTGAAGACTTTGGGCTTGCCAAGCAGGCTGAGCTGTATCCCAAGCCCGCAGCCCAAGTCTTGTAACATTGTTGGTGCTTAGAATGGGGTAGCTTTAGTGTTATGCTATCATATCATTAGATTCATGGTATTTACATCTGTTCAGGTCTTTTCTATTTTAAGCAACCAAAATCCAGTGGCCTAATCATAAAGATACTTGCTGGCACATGTTTAAAAAAAAAAAAAAAAGACTAGGGTTGTGCTGGCCTTGGTGTGCACCACACTGTCCCCTGGCCAGTTCTCTCTCACTTTCTTTCCCCTGCTCTCCCGGGTGGGCTCCCTTCCCTGCTAAGAGAAAGATGCTCAGGAACAAACCAAAGGCTTCATCCTGCCCTGCTAGGAACTGGAGCTGGAGGCTGAGGCACTTTTCTCCCAGGCCTTCTCCCAGAGTGCTTTAATTGCATCTTCTTTGTTGTGATTGGCTGTCTCTAGACCAATCCCTGTGTGCTGGGAGGAAGTAGTGCTCTCATTGGTGGGCTGGTGGCCCACCCCCTGTCCTGTATCTAGGAGTAGAGAGGTGCAGTTTGTTCCATTCTGAATAGAACTGAAGCATGCATCAAGACTAGTTTTTGAAAAAAGCAGTTGAGGTTACCAGACAGAAAAGGCTAGATCAGAACAGTGCTGCCTTTTACCCTAAGACAGTACTAAAAGGGCTGAGGGTGTATCTCAGTGGTAGGTTGCCTGCCTCCGTTATATAGAGTGAGGGTCAACCATAGCTGCATGGGTGTATAAGAAAAGGGAAGCAGTGCTAAAATAAAAGAGGATGGGAACCAGGGACTGTGGCCTCCCTTAGGTCTTGCTGGAGATAGGGGTGGAGGTCTTCTCAGAGACGGCATCTCCAGCCCTTGCGGTCTCTGTGCCCTCAACACAGTTCTCTGTGTTCCTTGGCCTCATCTTCTTCCTGGAGCTGGCGACAGGGATCCTGGCCTTCGTCTTCAAGGACTGGATTCGAGACCAGCTGAACCTCTTCATCAACAACAATGTCAAGGCTTACCGGGATGACATTGACCTCCAGAACCTCATTGACTTTGCTCAGGAATATGTGAGTACATGACAGAGCAGATTCCCCATGTACCAGCACCACCGTTCACCCACACTGGCCAGCAGGCTCCAGGGAAGAGAAGCAGGAGTGTCCATGTGCCAGCCTTGTAGGGACACAGGCTTAGGGAATAGGACGGAGGCTCCTAACTGACAGCTCCCAAGCCAGGGCTTATGACACACTTAGGTGGAGAAATTTTTTTTTTAATGTATTTGGTACAGGGTCTTACTTTGCAGCTTGACTAGTAGTGATCCCCCGTTTCAGCCTCCCCAGCACTGAGATTACAGGCATGCACCACCATGCCTGGTGTTGGTGGCCAGCTCGGTGCACCCTGGGTGGGTCCAGCATGGTCTTTGGTATCAGGGATCAAACTTGTGCTTGCCTAGGCAGGCACTTAGACCACTGAGCTATCTCTAAGGCTCTAGGTGGAGAAATTTTGACATAAAAATACAGCTTTTCCCTTCTAAACGCTGGGCCTAGAGTATTGGCCAGAGCTTCTTTGTGGCTGCCCCTTCTCTAGAAGGGGGGCTCTCTATCATCCCCAGTGTTGTATTTTATTACACTCATCAGCTGTCTTCCCTCACTTATGCCACAGGCTCTCGTCACTTATTAAGGGGCCACGTTCTGAGAAATGCATTGTCGGGATTTCATCACCTTTGCATGCTTTGATGGTTTGAGGTCACCCACTGGATGAGGCCTTTAGAGCTTTGGCAGCCGTGAGATGAGTGAAGCTGCTGCCTATGAGCATGGCATGCTGTTTTACAGTCAGCTTTGTTGAGATAGGACCTTGCTGCATTAGCAGACTGACCTCAGACTCGGTGTAAGCTGTCCTCCCATTCAGACCATCAGGTAGCTGAGACTGCAGGTGTACGCTGCTGCACTCAGCTTACATTTTTAAGTAAATGGAATCCACTTGAAAATAGTTATAAAAGTATAGTACAGTAAGCCAGTGACACTCACTGTTACCATCAACAGGTGTAGTGCGCTGAACGTAATTGTATGTGTGATGCTTTGTACGACTGGTGGCACAGTAAGCTTATTTATACCAGTATTACCACAAACAGGGGAGGAGTGTACTGCAGTATAGCCTAGAACAGCTCTGACCAGTAGATAGGTGATTTGTAACTCCATTATAGTCTTACAAGTGTTATGTTGTGCATGGCTTTCTGTCTTTGGCTTCTGAATACAGCACTGCCTGTATATAAAGCTAACTTCTTTTGTTTGTTTGTTTTGGCGGAACCAGGGATTGAACTCAGGCCCTTGTGCTTGCCAGGGAAGCACTTATTCCACTGAGCCATCTCCTTGGCCCTAAACCTAACTTCTTAGAAGCAGCAGCCAGGGGCTGGGGAGATGGCTCAGTGGAATAAGCACTTGCCTGGCAAGCGCAAAGGCCTGAGTTCAACCCCCAGTTCCACAAAAAAAGCAACACCCAGAGAACTGTTTTTGAAACCTCAGATGCCTCCCACCTGCATGCTCTTGCCCACTCCCAGCACGTGCAATCCCGGACTCCCAGTCTATATCAGTTACTCTTCTCTCATTGCTGGGACAAATACCCAACACCCAAAATTAAGGAAGGAAAGGTTTATTTAGCTCACAGTTAATGGAGGTTTCAGACCATACTGGGCTGGCTGCAAGGCAGAGTGGTACGTGGCAGACAGCAACTGTATGTTCATGGCGGAAGCAAAGAGCAGAAAGCTGGAGCAAACGGGAATAGCGGCAGCAATGGCAACAGAGAGCAAGTCTGTCTCCTTTATGTTGCACTCGGGCTATCCCCCCCCCACCCCCGGGCTGGGTGTAGCACTCATCCGTAGTCCCAGCAGCACTCACACCCATAATCCCAGTGGATCATAAGTCAATCACACACTCTAGAAGTCTGCCCCATGACTGTATGAAGTTTTGGGGGGACAACTAGACCCAAAGTATAACACAGTCACAGCCCTTCGCTCATCACTAAGAGCCAGCTCTGGTGCTCAGAGCTGACCTGGGGCTGGCATCTACCTTGAATTCTTGCCCCACAGCAGAGGCAGACATGGAGCCAGGACATTACAGCTCAAAACGGAATTGAAGTGGACCTACCATTGCCAGCCCCTGTGCTGAGTGTGCATATTTGGTAGTGAAAAGAACTTAAGTCCTCCTAGGGATGACAGTTTGTGTGTGTGTGTGTGTGTGTGTGTGTGTGTGTATGTCTTGTCTGTCTGTGTCCCATGTTGAAACTACAGATTGTGGTAAGAGCTGAGAAGGGGAGGGTGGAGAAATGAAGGCCTCTGGTGACTGTGAAGCCTCCCAAAGGAGGAAAAGGAACAATGATGTGAAAAGAGGGCAGGATGAGCTGCTTCTCCAGCAGGGAAGCAGGCCCTGACAGGTGAGGGCAGCTGTGCTGCAGAGCTGCACGGCTGTGCCTTGCTCCCCACTGGGTCTGTGGTGCCACCTGTGCCTGCTGTTGATGTGGAGCCTCAGCCGCCCTCACACTCTTGCAGCCCTGGTGAGCCAGCTCCCCCGCATCCAGGGTGCCACTTTTAGCTGAGGCTGTGGGCTCTTGTCTCATCATTTGAGTGTGGGCTCCCTGGTTCAGGGCAGCCCTGCACTTGCCCTTGCCCTTGCCCTTGCCCTGCCTAGGGAGGCAGCATAGGATATTCCCAGAAGCAGCCCTGGCAGCAGGCAGCTGGGACCTGGAATGGATGGCTTGTGAGGGTGGCAGGAAGGGAGGGGGGTGAGCAAGGTCCCTGCACCAAAGAGAGGTCTTTGGAAACTTTGGGCCTAATGTGGGGAGACCCAGTGTAGACCTGAGTTTTGGAGACACCTTTGTTCTCGCAGAGATTGACCTCTCCCCAGTCCTTGGAGGTTCAAAGGAAGCCACCACCTTTAAGCTGGTGTCTTGGTGCCTTCTTTTTCCAACATACAGTGGGTTTGGTGGTAAGGAAGGGTAGAGGTGGAGTTAGGGGCCTCCTCCTGCTTCCCCCACCCTAAAGCTCTAGGCTGTTGTCTACTCTGACCCCCTTGGGTCTAGGCCTGGCCTATCTGCTTGGGGATGGGGAGTTGCCCTGCCACCTGGCTCTCTCCAGGTCCCCTGCCAGCCCTTTGTCCTTGCAGCCAGGCTCGTCCCCCACAGGGTGGGCTTGGGCTGGTTGGCCATGGCCTGCTCACCGGGGGCTCTTTTCTGGCCCCCAGTGGTCTTGCTGTGGAGCCCGCGGGCCCAATGACTGGAACCTCAATATCTACTTCAACTGCACTGACTTGAACCCCAGTCGGGAGCGCTGTGGGGTGCCCTTCTCCTGCTGTGTCAGGGACCCTGCGGTGAGTGGGGCCTGGTGAGGAGGGGTGAGGGTGAGGACCCTGCCTAAGAAAAACCCACCACATGGTCTGCTCAGCTCTTTGGGGCCTGGGGTCTGGGTGTGGGGGGCTCCTTTCAGCCAGCTTGTCCACAGGCATGTGGCAGCCTATTCATGTGGTGGCTTCTCTCTTAGCAGAGCCTGGCTCTGATTGTGGTGGGATGGACACAGTGGGACCCTGGGGGATGGGCACTGGTTCCAAGGCCTCCCATACCTTTGTATTGCAGTAGATGCAGCTCTGATCAGCCTGTGAAAGCCCCCTTACCTTATCACTAACTGGTCCATTTCTCTTCAGGAAGATGTCCTCAATACCCAGTGTGGCTATGATGTACGGCTCAAACTGGTGAGGAACAGGGCTGGGGGCATTTGGGGACCCTGGGATGGGCCGGGGTTCCTCATATGAATTCTGAAAGGCCTCAGGAGTTCTTTGGGGAGTGGTTGCTATAGGCCTTGGGTTGGTACTGGGAACCTGTGGGCGTGGGCCCAGCTGGGGTATTCATCCCACCTCTTCATTGAACACTTGCTGTGTGGCTTACATCACCCGAGACCTTGGAGATTCATTGCCAAAGAGATGCAGACCTGTCCTCAGGGAGTAACAAGAGTAAACTCATAGCTATAAATACAGACAAGCACAGCAGTTGCAGCTGAGCGTGTGGATGATGACTGGATAGGGGCTGGGCAATCAGGGAAGGTGCTTTGGAGGAGGCGTCTGTACTGAGACCCTGCAAGAAGAACCCAGCTGTGCACAGGCCTTGTGAGTGAGCTTCTGGGCTGGGCCAAGCTTACTTGGCAAGCCAAAGGTGCAGGGGAGAACGAGTTTGCGGTGAGGCCCGTAGTGGCAGGTGCACTTAGCCTGGTGCCTGTGTGCCTGTAGGAGCTGGAGCAGCAGGGCTTCATCCACACCAAAGGCTGCGTGGGCCAGTTTGAGAAGTGGCTGCAGGACAACCTGATTGTTGTGGCTGGTGTCTTCGTGGGCATCGCCCTACTTCAGGTACTGTGTGGCCCGGCACCCTTCCCCTTGCCCAGAGCCCACCACCCCTCCTTCATCTGCTCCCTGTCTTACAGATCTTTGGCATCTGCCTGGCCCAGAACCTTGTGAGTGACATCAAGGCAGTGAAGGCCAACTGGTGAGGCTGCCAGGGACCATGGCGACACATCTAGGCTGCTTATAGGGGCCCCCAAGACCCTCCTCCTGTGCTTATGACAGGCAAGGCCCAGGAGGTTTCTGCTCTGACCTGAGCCCCAAAGGGGTTCTGAAGTGTAGAGATGCTGTCAGCCCACAGGGAAAGCCACTGTGGCAGGCAGCCCCAGGCTGCTTGTCCTGGAGCTCTGTGTGCACAGAGGGGGTGTGTATAAGTGTATTCACATGCGCACGGGGAACTACCACTGTAGCAACTGTTGGGGTAGCGGGCTCTCCAGGGGGCTGGGAAGCGCAGCTAAGAGGGTACAGGCCAGGCTGGTTGGGGGCTGCTGTGGAGAGGTCTGCCTGTGTCCTCTGGGCCCGTGCTGGGACACCTTCTCCATGTGTGGCTGGGGGTTTGGGGGAAGCTCTGCAGCCTGCTACTGCCCGGCCACTGCCTTAGCTTCAGAGCTGTCTCTCCCAGCTCTGACCTTGAGCTTGCCCGGGAGCCCACCTCAGCCTGTATCTGTGACTCTGAAATAGGTCCAAGAATTTTTTCTCTCTTGCTTGCCTCTCAGGATCAAACATGATGATGGCTACAAACTGCTCAAATAAACAAAACTTTGAAAACTACTGGCTTGTGCCCACCACCTTGAAGGTTCAGTCAGCTGTGAGGCCTCAGCCAGGGCCTCACAGAGCCCTCCAGCCAGGCCCGCTGGCCCAGACCCATTCACTCAGCAAAGCTTCTTTGGCCCAGGTAGTTCAAACGTTTGAGACAACCTTTAAAAAAATGGGCATATTTCACATAAAAATCCAGATGCCCTGCTTCTATTGAAGAATTACCATCTGGCCACACCAGCTCTTCAGTGGCATTGTCACCTGGGACATAAGCTTCTATGATCACTGAGGCCCCATTTTGCCTGTTGTCACCTAAGTGCCCCGCCTGATCTCCATGGGCTGGGAGTTGGCCTCTCTCCACCTCTGGATTATCGCCTGCAAGTCCCAGCCTGCTGTGGCCAAGACAAGTGAGGTACGGGGATATGAAGAATGGGAAGACTGGCCCTCATCCTGAAGAGGTGCTGGCCACAGAGGGCATCTGGCCCTGCTGGGAACTGAGGTGGGTTCCTGAAGGCCCAGGAAGCGGGCTGGGAGGTGGGTAGGAATCAGGCTGCAAATGAAGTCGCTGGAATCCCAAGGTGTAGCATCTAGCAGGTTGGAAGGAACCTGTTTGGGGTCACAGATTATGATTCTTAGCAGCGATGGCAAACCTTTTAGAACTTTCAGTGATAACAAATATCCTAGGTTCGCTGCCACTGGTTCTTGGGTGATGATGGAATCAAGTTCACAAATCTTATGGCCTGCAGACCGGTCTCGTGGTCACCAGAGGGCGCACCAAGACAGCGTTTCCTGGTTTTGGACGTTTTCCTTCCAATCTCACCCCAACAGAATAAGGTCTGCTCTTCCGATCTCTTCACATTCTGCTGAATTTGAAAACTTGTAAAGGAGCAAAATAGCTCAGGCCTGGGAAGTTTGTTTCCCAGCTCTGCCCCATCACAGTTATATTTTGAAGGGGTTTGTGGAGTGGCCCTGCCTCACCTCTCCTCGGGCCTGTGGAAGACTGGAGGGAGCGGCCTAATTCAGAGGTCTCGGCTCAGATTTCCTCAGGGCCCAGCACGTTTTTGCTGAATGAGGTTGGCCTTTGACAGCTGAGGCCCACTTCTCTTTGATAACCACAGTGGGTGGTGACGGACACGAACTTCTCTTTGACAACCACAGTGGATGGGGACTGGACACAAAAGTAGCTGGTACTGTCCAATTGGTCGCAGGCTGGGAGGACAGTGCGGTGTGGCAGGCACTATGTGGTGGGTGGTTTTGACATGCTACAATAAATGCAGCTCCAAATGCAGCCCAGGTGTCTTGCTGTTTGGTTGGCTGGCTGGTATTGGTGGTGTTTTTTTTGTTTGTTTGTTTTTTTGCAGAACCAGGGATTGAACTGAGGCTCTTGTGCTTGCCAGGCAAGCACTTATTCTACTGAGCCATCTCCTCGGCCTCTGGTGGTTTTTTTTGTGACAGGGTCTTACTGTGCTATTCAGGTTTGCCTTGAAATTGTGGCATCCAGTCTCAGCCTCCTGAGTGCTAGGATTACAGGAGCATGGTATCACTCTGAGCTTTCACAGTTCTAAATTTCAAGTGCTTGGGTTTGGAATATAGCTCAACCTACCTGACAAGCGTAAGGTCCTGAGTTCAATTCCCAGTGTACCCCACTCAGTTCTTTTTTAGTGTATTTGGTATAGGGTCTCACTATACAGCTCGGACTTGTAGTGATCCTTCTGTTTTCAGCCTCTCTAGCGCTAGGATTACAGGTGTGCACTACCACGCACACCTCAGTAGCCTGCTCAGTATACCTGAGGGTGGGGCCTGTGGTGCCAGGGATTGATCTGTGGTCCCTGTGCTTGCCTAAGCAGGCGCTTAGGCTGCTGAGCTATCTCACTGCCCCTCCCCTCCCAATTTTTTTTTCCCCCAATGCTTTTGCTTTCAGTTTCCCCCTTAAACCGTACAACACCCTTGTAAAGTGGATGATTTATTTATTTTACGGAACTGGGGATTGAACTCATTCCCTTGCACTTGCCAGGGAAGTGCTTATTCCACTGAGCCATCGCCCCTGCCCCGACCCTTGTAAAGTGGAGTTTCTTTTCTTGAAGGGGAAATGGGCTCAGAGAGGGGAGGGAGGTCCCCTAGAACACACTGCTGGGAAGGTCCCCAGAGCTGTCCCCATGCTAGAATTTTGTCCCATATTCGTTCTGCCTTGATAGCTTTGGGTAAAACGTGTAGTCAAAGTATTAACCAGTAAGGGCTGTGGCGCAATACTCATTCCCCAGGTATGTCGTACATCTACTTAGGTGAAGGGCACAGGAGAACATGCGTGCATTCACGCGGGGGAGACGGCAAGCAAGTGCTCTCCAGAACATAGTGAGTGTGGGGGCCTAGAAGAGTCAGCATCTCAGTGACACCCTGGGGAAGGGTGTTCTAGGTTTTTCTTCTAGCTTCTGCAGACTCCCCAAGGCCACTGGGCTTGGTATGAGGGAGTCCAGGGTGGCTGGAGAAATGGGAGTAGATGAGGGGCACAAGGAGCAGGTGGAGCGGAAGTGGTAGGCCAGGGTGTCTAGAAACAGGCTGGGTAAGGTGGGCTGGGAGTGACGGGTAGGAGTGGTGACCGCTTGGGGCCCAGAGTGCTCCAAGACCCAGGACAGCTGTTCTGCCCACCCATTTGTCCTTGTGTTGGTCTGTTCTTTCCTCACTGACCCTCCTTAGTCCATTGTTGCCCACTCAGGTCCTGGCCAAAGGCTGGGAAACTGAGGCAGCTCTGACCTGCCCCTGCCCTCCCTGACCCCAGTCTTGGCAGAGGCAGAGAGGGAACAGTTGCTAGGTTACAGTGTGTGTGTGCTGAGCACCTGGTGGTCATGCTAGTTGAGGTTTGGGACTTGTTAGTGACCTCTTCCCAAAACAGGACATGGCAGAGTTCTTGATCATGGGGCTCCTGCCTACGATGCAGCCTTCCCAGGTATGAAGGAAGCTCTAAGCTGACTCCATGCATCACTCCAGTTGGGGCCCTGGTCCATGGGGACCAAGGTTACGCAATCTGTGTTGGGACAGCGCACACACTGGTTGGTGGTGACAGGGAGGGTGGAGGGCATGTGCCAGCTTGGGAGTTCCCCAGGAGTCCTGACCTGCTTAATCCAGCTATGCACAGGAGAGGCTGCCAGCAAGTCTGCCCTCATGACACGAGGACATCTTTTACTCCAGGATACCCCAGTGGTAGAGCCAGAGGAATAAACAGAAGCGCCAGATTAATCCTAGGTTGAGTGGTCTGAAGGCCTCATGGATGTCCCAGGAGGCTAAGGCAGGTGACTACCAGAGGGTGCAGAGTACAGTCCATGCCCCATGTCCTGGTCAGCACAGGACAGGACTGGCAGCAGATGAGGGGCCGACGTGGAACCATTCCTACAGCCAAGCAAGACCAGGCCAGTATTCCAGGAACCTGGGGTGACACTGTTGGTGCCAGATTCAGGCCTTGTCCACCTTGCCCACCATCTACCCTGTCTTAAGGGCTTTGGGGTGAACCGCACTACGTAACCTATGGATGCTTCTCCTGGTAGGCAAAGAGACGAGTTTGCCTCTGAGCTGGTGGGCACAGTGTCTGGCAGCAGAACTTCAAAAAGTGTGTGCATGATGGATAGCATTGCCTTTAGAATGCTGGAGCAACATACTCCATCACGCACACCTCCTCTCAGCCAGATGTACTAAGCACCCACTGTGTGCCGGGCATTGTTGTAGGCACTTGGGATGCAAAAGAGAACAAAACAAAGATCCGCCAGGCACTCGGCTGAGCTGTTCCAGTCAGGTCTGCCTGCTTTGCAAGGGGCCAGTTAGTATACCAGATTTCCAAGCCATATAACTACCCAGTTTGTGCCCTCGTGGTGGGGCAGCTCAAGACAAGATGTCAACAGAGAGGCAAACGTTGCAGTAATGTTTTATTTACAAGTGCTGAAATTTGAATGACATACAATTTTCAAATACCATAAGCTATCATCCTTTTGATTTTCTACCACTGAAAAATAGCAAAGTAGCTCTGGAGCTGGACTGGAATAGGCTGTGAGTTGGCCTCACCTCTGGCTGGAGCGTGCTAGGTGCTAGTGTAGGAAGGAGGCGGCAAGCACAGTGGACGTTGTAGTGGGGAACTGACCTGAAAATGTTAGCACCAGGTAAGGGTACTGAGAGGGCAGGTGTTCAGTGGGCCTCACCGAGAAAGCCAGATGGAGCCGTGGCCCTTTAAGGTATTTTTGATAGTGCACATAAAATAGCCCATTCTACCCTAAAAGAAAAAAAAAAGTAAAAGCTCTCTACTGTGCCCTCTCATCCCCTCCAGCCTCCTCTGGTGTAGATGGCACATTTGTCTCAATAGTGTTGTGGGGAGAGGGTTGCACAGCACTGGTGAACATGAAATTTCATGGATGCTCAAGGGCCTTATACAAAGTGACATGTTACTTGCATATAAAGTAAGCACATCCTCCTTTATAGTTTTAAAATGTTATTGAGGGGCTGGGGAGATGGCTCCATGGAGTAAGCGCTTCCCTGGCAAGCACCAGGGCCTGAGTTCAATCCCCTGTTCCGCAAAAAAAAATAAAAAGATAAAATGTTATTGATTGTGGTGGTAAACTCAAGACCTTTGTATATTTCCAGCCCTCAAATTTTGTTTTAATTTTGAGATAGGGTCCCACTAAGTTGTTCAGAATGGGCTTAAACTTGTGATCCTCCTGCCTCTGCCTCTCAGACTGCTGGCATTATAGGCATGTACCACCATGCCTGACATAAATTCATTTTTAACTGATAAGTCAGAATATTAAAAACTACACATATTACTACCATGTGATGTTTTGATGCATGTATATCTTGCATAGGGCTTAAACATGTTTATTCCCTCAAATATTTGTCATTTCTGCACAGTGAAAATGGTCAAGCTCCTTTTAGCTTTTTGCAATGTGTAGAACATTATCATTACCCATTGTTATCCTGCTGTGGAATAAGCGCTTCCCTTGGATGGAACTTCCTGCTGCTGTCTCTGTAACTTAGTACCTGGGATCAGCCTTCCTCCACCCCCCAAACCCAAAGTCCTTAGTCTTTGGCAAACACCGTTCTACTCTACTTCTATGAAGTCAATGTTTTTAGATCCTACATATGTGATTGTGCAATGCTTGCCTTTTTATGCCTGGCTTAGTTCACTTAACATAATCTCCAGTCCCATCCACATTGCCACAAATGACAGGATTTCTTTCATTTTTACTTTATGGCTGCTAGATTACTTATGATACCAAGTATAATGCAAGTACTATAAATAGTTGCTATACTATAATCAGTGATGGCAAAACTTTAGAGCATTCCATAACAGCCGCTGCAGCTCATGAGCACAAGTTTGCCACCAAAAATGTACTATATTATTTGCAATAATGACAAGAAGAAATGTGTACACATTCAGTACAGACACAGCCATCACAGGCTGCCAAGAACAATGTGACACTTTTCCTGAATCTTTTCCATCTAGGGCTGGTTAAATCCTTGGATGCAGAGTCTTGAGGATGTGGATATGGGCAGCCAACTGTATATCTTTCCAAAGCTTTTACATTTAAAGTTTTTACACTCATTTATGCACAAGAAATGTTTAGTGTAATTTCCTGTGTGTTTTGAATGTCAGGACAGTGTCCCATTTCTGTAGCTTGCTCTCAGCCCCATGGTATATTTGGCAGACCTCACTGCATACTAGGCTGCGTGAGGTCTTAGGACTGCAGCATGACTACTTTGCTTCACCCAGCAGAGCTGGGCTTCTGCCCCTCAGGGACTCTGTGCTCCAAAACTCCAGTGAGTGCCGTAGTCAGGCAGTCTTTCCTAGAGTTCTGGCTGCAGCAGCCACTGCTTTGCTGGGCAGATGGATGAGGGATGTGGGGGAGGGGTGACTCCAGGTCATGGCTGGTGGCAAAAGTGGCCCTGGTACTCCTCTGGTTGGACCTAGGTCTTCATTTTTTCATTTCTATTTTGTCAGCCTGACACCGGCTCAATTTGTAACTTTTCCAGACCTGGGAACCTGGAACTCCACCCATCGTATATGTGTAAGACACACAGTTAAGGGCCGGTGAGATAATTCAGAGGTCTAACACACCTGCTTAGGTAAGCTTAGGCAAACACAGGGATTGCTCTTCAATCCCCATTACCACATGCTGTGCCAGCCCCACCCTCAGGGTGTGCTGAGCGGGCAAAAAAGTTATCCCTGAGGCTGTGCCACGGTAATGTCGCCTTGGTTTCCTTTTCAGTTACATGGAGAGACAAGGATGTGAGTGAGTGCCCTGCGTAGCC